GCTCCATTCACCATTTTTTTCCCAAAGATTTTTCCGAGAGCGGATAGGTGTCGGTATATTGACCAGATGTCGATCTAGACAATTTACTGAAGTCGTTGGAATATATTAAACAATATTGACCGTTCACATTTTCATAGATTTTATTTTGACGTGATATATCAACGGCCGAATATTATATGTTGAATGAGCGTAACGAGATATGTCGATATCTCATATGAATTATACTAAATTATAACGAGCAAAAAGAACTGTTGTTCAATAATTAGATGTGTTTCTGCGAGATTCATGACGTATATTTCCGTCTATTATATTTTTAAATGATTAACGAAGTTATAATGAGTATCATAAGGAAAACTGCTGCAAAAAAAAGACGTAACAGAGATAATCGATCTCATTTGGAATCAAGGACGAGATTGCAGATTGCGTCGGCAGCAAGAAAGTTAAGAATCATGAACGATGACGTTTTCTCACACGGAAAAAGCTCGCGCGGAGTTCACGCGGACCCTACCAGACTTTAACGAGTGCGGTTGCACGTCTCGGCGTTTCATTATTTATCCCACAAGAACGCGACTGTCGGTGTAAATTAAAGATCGCGGATTCGTTAAAGCGGATTCGTCATGTGGGCGGAAAGAATGGTAACGTCAAGGGGCTCGTAAAGAGAATATATCGCGACGGCACGAAATGCGTGAGCTGTTGGGAATAAAATCGCGCCAAATGACGTTCAACTTTTATTTTCAGATTCTCGCGAAATATATTTAATTCCCGATCAGTCACGATTATAAGATTCGTTCGATCTACTCTTAATCTCTTGTTGGACGGAGTATATATACGAATATAGGCAACTTTTTCAAAAGCCAGTCTCTCTCTTTCTCTCTCACTCACTCACTCACTCACTCACTCAGTCAGTCTTTCACTCATTCAATTACCAATCTGACTGCTCGCGCTTATTATACGATCAGCATTCTCCTCGCCAAGGGGACGACATATGTAGTAATTACCGCGAAAGTTAATGGTAATAAACTAATGACAGCTCGAGAGATAGAAGGCGCCGGTTAACCTGCCTTAACGCATTCTCCACCATGTTTTTATCGCGATGTAGCTAGGCGCCGCCGTCGATAAGTGACTCAATGCAAACCCTGGCGGCGGCGGCGGCTCCGCCTCTACTAAATGCCAATGGGCTTCTATGTACTTCGTATTTATCGATGCGTTACGCAGCGATTTATAGCGATACAAAATCCCGATCATACGTCACGCATATTCATTCGGGTGAAATTCTCGCGACAGTGCAATAATCTGAATTGTGTGTTTCGCTTATCACGTCGGTTAAAGTCCTGTACAACTGTAGCGTCATCTTACAAAATCGTATCGCGAGCGATTCTTACGTAATTACGTACCTTACCGTATCGCTTATACCTTGTTATAATCGATCGAAAAAAATTGCAACCGTTATATAGGTTTACTCGTGTTTAACTATCGATCGGAATACAATAATCGTGATTTGATCAGCTCGGCGGGATATTAATGCTTAACGGCGATCCAGACCGGGATAATCTCGCGATAATCAGCAATAAACCATTGAGAATACTCATGCAGGCCAAATTACCAGGATTGCAAGTCACCGCGCAAGAATTATACGTCTCGTTCATTACTCGTAAACGATGCCGTAATTAAACCACAAGCCTACGTCGTGCCCGTGTCTTCGAGAGCAGACCGATTGACTGTTTATCTTGCGGCATCGGGATCGTTAATACAAGTACATCGATCGACGGAGATTGCGCATCCGGCTCGACGGGGTTCATTTGACAGACCTTGATCGTACGCGTGCTCGAGAAACAAACGAAATGTAGGATAGAGAGGGCAAGAGCAAAAACGGAGGGGCGAGAGAAAGTAGATGTTGTTTTCACGTGGGTGGACAACGTGGTTATCAGATATAGGGATTGGTCACGCTTTCTACTAAAAATTTACTTCCCGCTGCAACGATCAGCGACGAGCACCGTCCACCACGTGACATTGATCTTCGGGGTTAAGTCCGCGGCTGCTTCCTGGTAGAAATCCCGTTTGATAATCGAAGAAACTATCGCGACAATACAGTTATTGTACCATATTATCATAGGAATGATATTAGGATTTGTTCGGGTGATTTATTGAGGATTTAGTGGATTATATCTACTTCTCTTCTCTTGCCTCTTTCTCTTTCTCTCGTAGGATTTTAAATCTTTAATGTCAATTGTAAATCTTTAATCAATTGTAAATAAAACTTATATTCGACTATAGAACGTTTGCTCCAAGTTTTCAATAACATTTCACTAATAATGTTATCATATTATTATTATTATTATTTTTATCTTTATAGCTTCGAGAATATTCTAACTCGCGCATAAAATTGCAATGGAACGGTCGTGTCCGTCGATAGTTCGCGACAGCGATTGGCCGTAAATCTACGATGCGTTGCTTGAACGGTGGCGCATGATAATCCTAGCGCGCTAAAGCCCGTTCGGTTATTGTTAATCGTGCGCGAGATCGGTTGCACGTGTGCCGTCACGTTCCGGTAGGTACACGCAAGTACACGCACGAGAACGATGCGCGAATCGCGCAGGAATGCAGGGCCGACCGAATTCCGCGTATCCCGCCGATAGTCCGCGATAATATGCGCATTCGGTGACGAAACAAGAATTACGTCCCTCCTTTTATTGCGTCTCTCTCTACCCCCGCCTTACCGGGGAAACACCATGATAAGAAATGGTGACACATTTCACCAACCGGTGCCCGAGCATCTTATCAAACGAATTCCACGCGCCGTGACTCACTGGCAACGATACCTATGCTATGTGTACTACATCTCCACCGTGCTGTGTCGGCGCAATAATCCGAAATTATAACCCTAATCCGCTTACGATTACCGCGGCACCACACCGAGCCGGTCGCTTTCATCGATCTCCGAACTCCGCCTACTAAATCGATTCGAATGGATGCCACTATTTTGACGATCAGCGGAAGGAGGATACCCGGGCGGATCGCCTCGCCAGCTCCATAATTATTCATAATTACCTTTCATAACATGCCGCGGTAGGTTTGACTTCTAATAATAAAAATTGATAAATAATTTTATATAGTCTACGAAATTTTTTGGTAATTTTTTATACATAGTTAATTTTACTTCTTTAGACTTATTGCAAAAAAAAGAGATTATTGGTATACATTTCAAAACAACTTTGTTTCATTCTTTACACTTTGTATACGGAATGCGTTCAGTTAATCTAGACTCAAGTGACTTGATCAAGGATTAAGCATTGAAAACACCGTCTTTTCCTAAGTCTTTTTCCCGGGTCTCAGAGACCGACACGATCGGATCGACCTCGGCATTTCGTTTGGAATTAATTTGCGACGAGTGAGGAAACGCGCGATTGCAGACGGGACCTCGTTTCTAGTCGAATCACCTCGCCCGATCTCTCGAGGGATCCACTGAGACTCGTGGGACCCCACACTCCCCACAGAGTCGGTGGCGACGGTTTTCCTTCACATTGCGTCGGCTATCGAAGCAGTTAGTTCCATTTCATTCGCTCGGAACGGCAAACGCGCGCACGCGTGAAGTCCCGTCCATTACGGCACGGTGAGAAGGCGTGTTTCCACCGTGTGAGAGGCGTCGCGACTTCCAGACGGGGACCAATCGATGATTTCTCGAGAGTCATTAACTCACATAACGAATGATGCCAAGACAGCGTCGATGTCGATACCGCCATGCTGTTATACATGGCGTTCGTACGCCTCATCTTTATCAATCAGAATTTATGCGATTGCGGAATTATCGGGATTTAGACAACAGGCAGGATTATCACTCACTTCGCAGTTTATCATATGTTAATCAATGGTGCGATAGTCAGAGCCTGGCGTACAGCATAAATAAATAAGATAAGGAATGATGTAGATAGCGTAAAAGAAAAAAAAAAGGGAAAGTTTGTTAAGCCTCTCACGCGAGAAACGTTTGTTAAGCCTCTCACAAGGGAATATATTCCTGTCCGGTAGGTCAGTAACACGTTGCTGAAACGTAATCGCCTGAATCGTCAGAGACAAGTGAGCACAAGATAAGATATCGATTCGCAGCATCGTTGCGATAGAGTGACGAAACGTAGATGACGCCCGCACCTTGTACATTTGCACGAAACGCCAGCACGTTCAGCCTCGTTAACTTTATCGGCAAATCTTGAATATCGGGTCCAGTTGGCTGAGACACGTCGCGGTGAACGCGTCGTCCGCTCTCGATTCGGTTGCGACTCGTCGTCTTGTTCGCGCAATTATAGCTCGTGATGATTTTTGTGAATAAGGATTTACCGAAGAATCGAGTCGTCTTCGAGTTTCAGTCGTAATATATAAAAATTCGCGCGTTTAGAATTGATCCGCATGAAGATCTCGAACAGGTTTAGAACGACGAGTTGCTTTAAAATTTGCCGGAGATCTTGTGCGAAAGGTGAGAATGTCTGATTCTGATAAAGAAACGGCCGTGATAAAAAAGAAACGCGCGAAAAAGTAAATTGGATTGTCATTCATAGAAGATGTTCTCGCATTTAATGGGTCTGTTTTGCTAAACTGGATGCACGCTGTACTAGTTTAAAGTCTTTTTTATTCCACATGGAAGGAAAAAGATAAATTCTGAACTAGTGCAGCCCGTTCAGCAATAGAAAACAGACCGCTATTATATGGAGTACAGTTATGGACTAGTTCATAATATTGTCAAAAAACAAAAATAATCGTTTAGACAAAAAGATAATCGAAAATTGAATCAGTCTCAACAAGATATTATAAAATCTATTTTAACAGTTCAAAATTCAATTCGAATCGCATCACCGAAGCTAATAATAGTGTTGTGACTGCGAAGCGAAAATAATCGATCACAAGCACTGATAAATATTTTGGGCGGAGCGATGATCTGGCGATGATTATCTCATCGCGATTAGCGGCAACGTAAGAGGCCAGTAATATATATTTATCAATTGTGTCGACAGATCGGCGGCGCGGTAGCCATGTCATCGTCGGATCGGCACGGCGGATCATCACGAGAAATCGGCGTGGAGCCGGGAGAAAACCATCGTCGTCGGCCCGATATACTTAGGGCCGCCGAGTAACGCCGGCAGCCGGGGGATCGGTAAACCGAAGGATCGATACGAGCGGACCGATCCACCAGCTCGCAACCTACGGCCTCCTTGCTGGCCTGGCCAGCTACTATGCGAATTGAAGCTCTCATTACCCTCGTCGCGGTAAGTTCCAATTGTAGGATAAACTTTGACGAATTGTCACTTGTGCATTTAAACCCGATAGATTTGACTCTGAAGCTTTTTCAGTGCCACGTGTTTAGAGAATTATACACACACGTATACAAGAAAATTAATGATTAATTTGAAAACTTGGAAAATTTAGATAACAAGAAAAATGTACTTGGAAATTACATTCAATTTGACGTCATACAAGTGTCTCGTTAAATTATCTTTCGGAGAGAGTCAGTCGAAACCTGTTCGAACACTCAGAATGTTAACAGTAGCCTCTTAATAAAATCCTCCGCCATGTGCCTGTTGCGTGCGGAGTGCATAAGGTCACCCATAATTACCAACGTGTACGAGCCCCCGTACGATTGATGCAACAATCGACGAGCCTGCACGTCCCTGGCGTTGCATTGTACCGGATGAGCGAGCAGCGAAACAATAATTACAATGTCCAGTAACTACGTAACGATCGTAAAGTACCGCCCGCCGCGTGCGTTATTAGCATATTATTGAGATAGCGGGGTGCGCACACGCGGACCGCCAATAGAGCTGTAGACGTCTCACGTTTTTCTCTCTTAACCGCTGTCACCATTACGTCGATAAACTTTTAGGATTACGACGCGGATCGCGCGCTTCATTCTCTCTTCCATTTTTTTTCCGTTTCTCATCCACACTGAAAAAAAATTTTTTTAATATTTCGAGAGCCTTACTTGAATACTCCTAACAACATATTTACTTAATATAATCATCACTTAATTTAAGTAAAGATATCTAATTCTAAATAAATATGTGATTATATTAAGTAAATATGTTGTTAGGAGTATTCAAGTAAGGCTTTTTAAATATTAAAAAATTTTTTTTTCAGTGCAAATTTTGTCACAGCCGGACGTCCTAGTCGCGTTTTCCCACAGCTGACTTTCGGTATAGTTGTCATCTCGTTTAAATGCGTTTAAATGGAATCTCTTTAATAATAGGTATTCGAAGCGGGGTTGCCGATCTATTAGGCGAAACATGAATTTTTGACGAAAAATCGTAGATATTCACTTGTACTTGTAAGCATATTTATTAAATATTGATAATTTCTGATGAAACGACCAATTTAAAAGCTATATTTCGTTCAGAAATTTAAATAAATCGCGTTATAGAATCCTCGTTCGATTACACCGATCGACATCGCGATTATAGCGCTCGTAAGACCGCACGCGGACCGCACCCAGGATCGGCTAGCGATTCTGCAATGTCGGGAAGAGAGATCAACATCCCTATCCGGGGACGTCGCGCATACCGGTGTTATCTACATAACATTACGGGCTGATGACGTACAGATACACGAGACCGGCGGCGATCTTCGCGACGTTACTATGCCCGTGATATTGATAAATGATAATCATTGGTGCATCGCTGCTGCACCGATAATTTAATAATGGTAGATTAGTGGCGCACGCACACGCGCGTAAAGCGCCCGGGCCAGCCTCTCACGGCGGCATTACTATGCTAATCGGTCTGCATCGGCGCCGATGCCTTCAATAAATAATCCTCTTAACGCGATGTTAAACAGGGGGATGCAGCCTATATGCCGCGCGTATCTCAGCGATGTGACGACGATGCATCGACGACGAGTCTCCGACGATTTGTGCGAATGTCGGATGCTGCCGCTATGCGATGAAGATACCGTCGATTTTTCGGAGAGCGAGATCTTCAATGTATTCCCGATATCGCCTCGGATCATCATAAATGTTACGTCGGCGCGTCGTCGACTACATCGGGCGTGAGACAGCGGAACTTTAAGAGCACGCGTTAAAATTCCCACAAAAATGCGCTTATTACAGTCCAATTTATTCCAAGAGCAAAAACAAGAAATCTCAGTATCAAGAAATCTTGAGTTTTCGATCTTTGGACCGTAAAGTATATACGAAGTCTTAAAGTACAATAAATATATTTTTAGCAGAGCGTCATTTCGAATGCGGAGTTATCCATTGATGGTGAAGTCATTGCAAATAACCGAAGAATGACTGTATGGAAACAGTTCTTGGTTTGTTTGATCGATACGCGTCTGCACGGGTTGATTTCCAACGAGATCGAATGCTGACCGCGATTAGCATTGGCATATCGATTTCAAAGCCGCCGGTCAGTCTCCTTCGTTGAATCATCTATTCATGACCGATGGCGAGTAGGTAGAAGCAAAATTTCACGCTTTGTCGCTGATATAATACACAAGAAAAGCTAAAATCAACGATTGGCGGCGGACCAAACCAGAAACAACGCGTAACTCGCCGTCGCATCTGGCTTTTACGCAAATGCTAATGCGTCGGGGGAGTGCATTAAAGCAACTCGTAAACTTTCGTAAACTTTCGAACCTAATTCGTACGCTAATTGGATGGCTCTGGTATAAATTATAATGTTTGTCGACAATTTTTCTGATCATAATAAATGATTATAATCAAAAAAATTATGGTTTGCCTCTATTTTAGACGTTCATATCGAATCTTTGGTAGAGTAGCACAGTAATAAAAAAAACAGAAAACTGCGATGTTTATTTGCATATATAGAATTTGCATAAGTTGCTCACCAATTCGGCGCGATGCTCCAGCTGCCCACGAGCGCTTCGCAAGAAGATATTGTCGAATGGACGCCTTCTCCTATTACCGCATGGGTTCGTCGTGGTCTGTAATTTAAAATAATTTGGAAATAACATATTACGAATCGTAACTGTAGTTAGGCATATAATATAAAAGGGGTTGGGTCTCTCTAAAAGCCGCGTGGCTCGCTCTGTGCTTTCGCGCGAATGATTTAGTGAGTCGTCGTGGGTGTATTTCGCCGTCGGGGCGTCGTCTTCCAGTAGTTCTTTTTTTCATACGGTCTAACTTGATACACGATCGCGCGGCGCAGCAGAAGAAAGTACCAACGAGAAGGACGTTAACCGCGAACGGAGTCGATGTTCGTTAAGTCGGTTCCATACCGGCCAACGCACTACGAGAAACGTAGAAGAAAAAAAAAACGTCGCTCTTCCTCGTTTTCCCAATTAACATTCTACCCGTCCCGACATACCAAACAACCGCGACGCCGCGCTGCCACGCCGAGGACAGGTGTCTCGCGGTGGGACATAGGTACTTGTTTTACAGAAACCGTCGTCACGTCTGTCGGATTCCCGCTTTAATGGCGACTTTGCGACACTCGCGGAGACATTGACAAAAAATTTATGACGCTTCCCCGCTTCAGACCGATTCCGCTCCGATCTGTCGGATAACACTCGGCTGGCCATCTGTGAAATCTCACGTATAATGAGCGGGTCGTCATTAATTTGCCGCGTCAAGGGGTAGGAGGAGAGAGAGTCCTGCGGTCTCACGCGCGAGAGCGTACGCGCGTAACCGTATGCACGATTACGCGTCGTGCGCGCCACACGCACGCACGTACGCACGCACGTTATACGCACGCAGGGCACGAAACGGCAAGGCGACTAACCAAATATTTATACACGTCAATCATAACACATGGCGAAGCATTCGCTGTCTAAACAGTCCGCGGTGCCCTTCCGTGCGAGCCACTTCGCCGTTGGCCGCTCATTATGCCGGCGCGGCGGCACGCTGGAGGACCTTTCATTGCTCCTTACCTATCTCTAACAGGCACTCGATAGTTGCCGTTTGTCATGCGCTCCACGATGTTTGCCTTTCCACGGGGGAAAAAAATCACATCGCGCTCGTTCGACTCGCGCGTCGCGCGCGCCGATATATGTGCGCGGTATTAAACTATTGTGGATACTCCCGTCGTGCTTTTCCCTTAGTTGAATGACCGAAATCAGAAAGACGAATCGCGTGTGAGAGATTCAAATCGTTGCCACGAGTTTGTCGTTTCGAGAGTGACAAAGTGACACTCGCTCGACTAATTTTATCAGAAAATATAAAAAATCGATATGCGAGATATAGTTAGTGGATGTGTATATATATCAAGCGTTATTATATAACGCAGATATCATATAAAGTATGCAGAGGATTGCAAGCCGGAGCGGTGCAACGAAATGCAACGGAATTGGCAAAAATCGAGTGGACGCGGGCCGAGGGTCGAGTGACTCTCACAAAACGTTCGATAAATGGCGGGACGACGGTGTTGAAACCACCTTTGGCACTTTGCAATAAGCCGGGAGTGCCTCCGGTCCTTATAAACGCACAAAGACTATGCTAATGATACGAGCGTTGCATTGACGGCTGGGTAAATACGAGCCGCTGGCTACGAGTCCTGCCGCAAGTTTATCGTGTAAACTGCTGTTAATGATTGCCAGCAAAGGCGAATGGGTTGTTTTCAGCGCGTTGCGATTTTAGTGGCTCGAGTTTAATTTAACGTTGTCGCTATCCGATCATTTAAATTATCCGGAAGCATAATACCGGATAATTATCGAATGTCGTCAACGCGTGAAGATCGTCTAAAGAGTCATTAGCAGCGATTTCCCTCTCAACGGGAATGACAGGTATTTGTCGCGAATTAACGAAGAGAATTAAATTTTTTGCAATAAGTTCAAGATTTTCGTTTTTTTTTCCTAAGGGAAGGAGCACGGTGTTCATCGAATTTGTTCGTACTTTAACTTCTATTCGAAACATCAAGTATACTATCCCCGTTTGTAACGTTTAACGTTAGTCGAACAGGCGATAAAATCTTGTCGGAATGCGATTCGTGGGTCGTTACGAGCGCGTAAAAGTCGAAAACACGCGGTGCGTGTGCCAAAGCGCGTGCTCTTCTTCGGACATACTAATCTGAATGAATGGAGTAGTAAAGTCGTGGAAAAGTTCTTCTACGAGAGAGATGAATCAATTATATGCAGAGTTGTCTTAAAGCAATATGTCTTTTACGAAGCGAGAGTGACAGTCAACTTTTTTTTCACCCTCTTTCTATCCTCGACAAAAATCTTTTTAGTAAGATAGATAATTTAAAAAATGAGAAATTATATATAGAAGCAATTAGTAGGTTTTTAAAAAGTATTTTTTTGCATTTTTAATTTAACAAAATAACTTAATATTTAGACTTCAAATCTGTTCTTCTTTTTCTTTTTTACTTTTGCACCTACTTTTCTTCAACTTCACTGCATTATTTTTAAAAGCTCATGTGTATGAATGTGGATGATGTCTAGTGTTCGCAATGTGTTGACATCGGGTCCGTGGGTTCGCTAAATCCAAATGACTGTGGATCAGTCATCCCTGCGGGAGGATTTAGTGACATTTTCTCAATCGTTAAGACATAATACGTCCCGTGTGCATGCATATATCATTGCCGCCCGCGCCTTATTGCGGAGTCTTGCATATCCGAGTGCGATTAAAACCAAGTAGGACGGGATATTTTTCTATGCATTTCAAAAGAGAGTCTTTCGTCATTCATCGCCGCACGGGATTGATATTCAACTCGCGATGGCTTATTAACGATATACAATATCTCATTATTTATGACGGAGCGGGACATCGGAGCACGGACGGCGGGCGCCTTTGCGGGCGCACAATGTAATCGTGGTAATTTCTGCGAACGGGAAACCGTACCTCGGGTACTCGAGGAGGCCCATAAATTATTGCCACACGTTCCACCAATCGCTGCACCCGCGATGCTCGCGATGAAAAATCTCGCGGCCAATAGCGGGAGAGAGAATGCCCGCTGGATTATGCTTGCACGCGTAACTGCCGCCTCCAGTCGCGCAAGTGCACGGTAGAAGGATCGCGGATTTTTATCGGGGGCGGCAGTTTGCTGCCGTCGCGATTTTCTGCGCTGTATACGCATACCTTTACGACCCCGCGTTCACCGCGTTTCGCATTAAATATCGTTCTTGTTATCGATATTTGCGAACGCGTGTTTTACGATTCGGTAACCTCGTATTTCTAGTGTGCATGCCTTTTAAATATAATAACACCTTTGCGCCTAGATCTCTCGCGGTGTATACCCTGTAAATCTCGCTGCCGGTCTCGACAGTGGCGATAAATAACGCGCGCCGATTACGCTATTGGGACTTGACATTAAAATGCTGGAGTTGTAATTAAATATTTACTCACGTTTCGTTGCAGGGATTAATAATCTCGCGTGATAAACGCGCCTGTGAATTAAAAAAATCCCTTTTTTTTTAATTCAAGGTTCTAAAAGTAGACGAGGTAAGAAGTACAGCGGTAAAATATAAAATTGAACATGACGCAAACAAAATTCCCTCAAATCTTCAGAATTTCGATCAAAATTCTCTGCTGACGCAATTACACCGCGTGACATGTCCTTTCGACATTCTTCTTTTCCAAAAGTCTTATGAGCTTGTAAAAACACTTCCAGATGACACATTAGCATTGGCCGCGTTCAGGCAACACAACTGTTGAGTGAGCGCTCATTATGATTGGTTCTTACACTTAGATCCGGAGAAGAACCAAAGGTAAGAACCAATCATATTAAAGAATCACTGACCGCTCACTCAATAGTTGTGTTTCCTGAATGCGGCCATTGCCTAGTGGTAATCGCCGATGATTTTGCGTGTATACGCATACGAGAGATCGATCGTCATCGATCTTTTAGACCGGTGACTCGCGAGCGAACAGAGAATAGGATTCGGAGCGAGCGTCAACACGACCCACGTGGCGCGCGCGCGCGGAGACATAAACACGTCGTCCGATAAACCGCGGGCTCACGATATACCGGTCCTCTCTCGGGGTTCCTCGAATCTGTTATCGGTATACCCGAGGTATATCGTAGGTATACGGTATATCGCAGGGCCCCTCGAATGCATTCCAGGAGGCATGAGATACGAAGCGGAGAACTAGTCGGCCCCTGGTGGGTCCGACCGCCGCCGCCGCTGCCGCCGGTATGTAGCGTCATCGCCAATGCGTTATGGGACTCTAATTGCGCCACAAATTATTTTCCGCCGCTTCCACGTGGGAGGGACGGTATTTCCTCCTCCGTTGAGATACACCGTGACTGCGTAGATAAGGACGAAAAAAGGTATAAAGTATTACTTTATCGCTACGTCGAGTAAGTTTTAAGTAACTTTTGGAATTAGATGTCATTAGTGTCGGTATTATCAGCGCGGTATCAGTGTAATTAATACGATCGTAATTAATTACACTGATATAACGTGATGTAACGTATCTCTAGCAATTACATGATTAGCCTTTTCTGAATATTTACTGGATATTTTGACAATCGTGTGAATAGCGAGAAGGGAGAATCTTATTAATAATAATGATTACTTATCGATACAAAGTAATAAATTTCTTTAAATAAAAAATATATCTGGTCAATTCGAAACACAAAAAAGAAAGAATTAAAATGTACATAAATTATACAATTACTTCAATGAAAGTGACAAGAGTCGGAGAACGTAAAGAAGTCATAAAAACGTCGTCCTCACTTAATTTTACCGTCACGTGGTGACTTATAACGAAATAGTCCGCACTTTCATCCGGCGGTCAGTATACGAATCTTCTGTATACACGCGTGATGCAATACTCGTAAATGTAGAACGAGTTTGCAATTCAAGTGCCGTAGCTCACGCGGCTCTTACGCGGCGCGGACAGCCGCAGCGGTAAATCTTTATCCACCGAGGGGGATTGATAATGATCGGGGCAGGCAGTGGTGAAGTGTCAGACTGTCATTAGTTAAAAATTGCTAAGACGAACGATGATTGCCCGGGAGTGGAGCGAACGGGATTACGAAAGCACGCTCGGGCCTGCCGAAATATATCCGGGATTATCTCGAGACCCCGAGAAACGACCGGCTAATTTCGACTTTCGCGAAAGTGCCTCTCGCTCGCGCTCAGGCACGGTCCCGGGCAGTTTCATTATCGCGAGGGAAGGGAGAGAAGAATTCGCGGGCGCTAATTGACGTTTTCTTGGCCCGGGCGCAACCGCGATGCTTAACTTAACGTTTCTTTAGGAGCGTCGCCGTGAAATCTCGCGTTTCGTGTGCGAGAGATAATTTCGTATCGTGCGTTAGCACACAGTTAGCATACAGTTTATTGCACATACCGGTTACTTATCCAATCTTAATACAAATGTTAATAACTGGACCCTCTCATTGGCGCTCGCGTATACGATCGCGCAATTTGGCCGCAGTGGGGCAATAATCGTTTGATATTTCGCTTCAGCCAGCAATTAACGCTAAGTGTCATTAAGTTATGCTGCAATGTCCGCCATCGCGCCACCGGCTACATCTCTATACGATTAAAATCGCGCTGCTAGTGAGAGAATTCCTTCCCCGTTCGGCTGATGCAAGAATCCGATAAAGATCGCGGAGAGCGCGATGTGTGGTCTCGCGTGTGTGAATATCCGTTTAATCCCAACGCGCGGTCTTCTGCCCAATGCGAGTTCCTCGTATGGGGGGCGCCCGCCGCTTATAGTTAACCGTTCATCCGGAGGAACGATGGCTTAATTAAACGTCGGCGATGCCGGCTATATCGCGTTGTCTCGCTCATATATGTAGGCCTCGCCGAGAAGCTTTCGCTTGACCCTTCGATAGTGTTCCGTAATTACGTGAGAGATAAGTGTCGTCGATAATAATGCACAGCTCTCTCTATTGCTATAAATTAGAATCTGATCTGTGATAATATAGATATGATGCTTTTTTTCGCTCAAATTTAGCCGCGGAATTCATTTGCGATATATTTGCAATGTAAGGTATCTCCTTTTTTGGATTGTTCCGTATTTTCTTATCAATACCACTTTTTTCATGGGTATGATAAACAACCATAAATATTACATCTTATGTGCATCTCGAAGACCTTTCCGTTTTTGGAAGGAAAAAGAAAGGTTTAAGTTCATTTTGGTGAATGAAGCAGGTTCCGCGTGCTTTCTGTGTGGTGACGAGTTATACGGCGCAATTAAATCGAAAGTGTGGTGTACCGCGAGAAAGAGGCACGCTCATATTAACAAGCGACGGCGGCAGCAGCGGCGGCGGCGGCGCCGTGAGGCCTGTTTTGCATAAAAATTATAAGCCGAATTAATGTTTTCACCTTCACGTAAGCTCACGTACACCGCGCTCGTTCACGTGTGCTCGCGGATTCGGGCGATGCGTGACTAACGCCGTGCTTTATTGCACGCGTTGTACCAATCTCCGACGCCCTGTGCAGTACTTTCTCACGCGCGATCCTTCACCGCGATATTATTATCGATGCAATTCTAATCTGACAATTCATCGTATTGTAAAGGCATGTAGCATTAGTCTCTGTCAGGTATGACAGAGTTGTTTACATCGCGCCACGTCAAAATAGCACGCTCGTGGCCTTAAAACACGCAATACTTTCTGCGATAGAAATTATATTTATTCGTTCGCTATAAGTGCGCCAATTTTTACAATGTTATATATAAAAATTTAATGATTCCTTGCATTAGATGCAATCAATCCTTAATCACGCAGCGACGATTAGGAAGTTTTCTAGGTATTTTATGTTTTCAACTTGTAAATTTGATGAAAAAAATTATGTTAGACATGCGAGCGAATAATTTAAGCATTCTCGTGATTTTTGTTGCAGGTGGTTTGGCTGACCGCAGTCCTGTGCCCGCGGCTTACTGCCGCCAACAATCTAACTTTATCCTCCTCTCGAAGCCCCAAGGAACATTTTTTTCACGGAGAACATATCTCTGACTTGTGAGTAAATTAAAATGTGACGGAATAATAAAAACTTAATTAGAGAAAATTATTATAGATCGAATTATAGATCGAGCATAGCAAACTTGATAACTTGATCTAAATTAAAATGAATCTTTTATAACATTTTAAGTTCAAAACCTTGTACTAAAATGTATATTTATCCATCTGTACTACGTTATTTTTGATAATTATGGCTCATTTAACATATTTGCAAATGATTTATTGCACGTTGCATATGGATATTCACTTGATCAGTCGCGCGAAGTTTGCTATCTTTATTATTCGCTGGTGTGCATAAAATGCTAATAATGTATATGAAACGGAGTAAGATATCATGTCCCGCGGAACTTTTTTAAACCGCTACAACATTCTACAGCGTAATTTAGATACGAGCTATTAGCGCGATCAGAACGGGAGGAATATCGGGGTTTCCTTCGGTGACAAGTTGAATCCGATTTAAATTCAACAAGGGGCACATTGCGTAGTCGAAGCGTGTTTTTATTATTTTTTACATACATTTTAAGTCACCTGTTAACACGACGATCGTATGCGCGATTAGACAACGGTTAGAATTAAATCCGAAAGTTCCGTGAATGCATCTGCCTGATGCACTCACGAAAAACATTAGTCGAGTGAAAATATGTTTGATTGGAAAATGGTGTCGATTAAAAGCAAGAGTCGATTAAAACAGAAGAGTCATTTGCCGTGTTGCAATTCGCAGGGTAGAGCCACTGGAGGAGCCGCACAAGCAGAACACGTATCGGGACATGCAGATGATCCTGCGTAAGGAAGGAGGCAAGGACGGCCTTGAACCGGTTGAGTGCTGTCCTTCGGTTTTGGAAATGGTGCAACCGCTCGGCGGTCGAACTCGAGAAGACATGTACGTCTCACTCTATCAGGATGGCGAGAACATCCAGAGGTTCTACGAGTACTCCTGCAGGGCGGACGTTCTTAACAAGCCGTGCAGGTTCGCCGACCGGAAGCTTAGCAACCAGTCCAGATGCGTGCAAAAGTACTCGTTCTCGTACGCTATCGTCCAGACTCCTGGATCGGAGGTATGATCGCGAAACGTCAAGATTCTGTCGTCATTCCGCCATCAAGAGTAGTATTTTTTTTTTTTTTAAAGGAGATTATACATATATTCTTTCGATCGCGATATCTTTCGCGTTTATCAATCTATTTAAAAAAAACTTCGTGTAGCGCCGGAAAATTATGAAGTCTAATAATCGAGCGAAATTATCCAGAAATATTAATTATTGTACTAATTGTCGTCCAAATTGGAATGGAGCAGCACAGAAGGCACCACCACAGGGAACACCATCGCTTTCCCGCGTTTTCCGGTAACACCGTGAGTGGATCCGGATGGACGTTGGACTACATCAGGGTGCGGAGCGGCTGCAGTTGCGAGGTCATGCCGAAGCCGAGGAAGAAGAAAATCACGGCGAGCAAGGCGAGGAGAGCGAAGAGCAAACAGCGCCAACCAAGGGACCAAGAGCCGGACTTTGAGACGTGAAAGTGTCCTTATGATTCGCGTCCTAATGACAGTACATTGTGCAGTAATTGTGTTGCGACTGACAGGAGAATGCGCGTGCGAATGTGAGATTATGTACGTGAAACGTGGGGGACGTGCGCGCGAAGAATATTACTAATCGTCGGACGCAATGAAAACGTTACCAACGATCATATCATCGATTTTTCTGATGACAATTACATAATGATAATTTATTAGACATTATTCGCGGGCGTGGAACGCGTCGTTACGTGAATGGCGCGTTTGACGTCGATCAATCGATTTGTACTCCTTGGTGCTTCATTTACAAATAACTTTCTTAGCGTATTTTAAATATCTCTCCCTATTTATTACTAATTACTTTAGTAGGAAATTTTCGCGAATTAAACACAGGTATAATTCGTCAAATTTCATCAAATTATTCGAATTCAAATTATTTTTTATTTTGAAGTTACGATCTTACAGTAGCAAACTGATCGTTCACGAGTAAATAAAGAACTTTCATAATGATCAACTGATATCGCGATTAACTCAAGAACAGTATTTCAAGATAATAATATATTGAGATAATTTCATTGGTCCTCTTTATAAAATAGGCGTGTGTCTCGATGCGCATTAATTTAATGCTTTAGTTTAATTAAATCTAATTTTCATTTTACCGGCGGCCAGTTTTCATTCTGTACTTTTACGTGTATATTATAAATTTGTATGTACCCGGTAGCTTGCGAGAGTTCTAATAAAATATATGGTATTTCGATTAATTAGGATCTAACTCATTGTATCTATATCTAGATCTGCGAGGCACATTGTGGTTCAATAACGAGGATGCGAATCATAGTATTACTAAAATATATTTAATTAAAATTGTAAAGTATATATTTTATATATTTAAACTAATACGCGATTCGGCTTAGGAAACATTGACTAGATGAGTGAAACGTGCCAACCGGGGTGCCAACAGCCATGACAATTATTAATAAATCTGACTATCGTAAGAAATGCGGAAAAATACTTATATAAAACCATTAGATTAAGTTCTTCTCACTGCGCGAATTTTCATTGCACGTCGATACGATGCGTATAAATAAAAAATATGTTATATTAATGGTTAAAATATTTCTTTTATTTTTCTCTCTTAATTTCTTGCACCGCGCAATGATAAGTTTGATCAATCCTAACGTTACTGCGATGTGCAATGCAGATTTGTGGAGAACTGTATTTTTAATTTACATGTACGCAAAATAACTATTATTAGCGCGTTAATTCTCAGAAATCGTAAATGCACTGCTGTACATAACTCCGCGGGAAATAAGGAATTTGCTGTTTTATGTCACGATGTCTACGTACGTTTCATAATATTAACAAGCTTTTTTTTAATTACCTTTTTGACATATACTTCTTCGCCATAACTGCCGTATTAATAATGACGTATTAATTTTTTTAATGACTTCCAGATAATATTTTTGTTGTATTATACGTAACGTTGTAAACATGCGGACATGTTTTCTGTATCGCCGTGTAAACATTGTACATAAACGTCATTAATACACTTGTTATAAAATCTGATTCAACAATATATCTGACTTTCCACGACATACGATTCCTTTCGAGTAAGAGAAAATCAAGATATATATAGAAAATAAATTTTTAATAAATTTTTTGTCGAACACATACCTGGAAATGAGATTTTTCGATGCATGTCGGCGAGAAACAGCACAGTCGCAGATTTTCTATTAAGCACAATAGACGCGCGCCTTACTATTAAAAGAATTTATAAATTAAATAACATGGAAGGCCTTGAATTACCAAACTCTGCCACTAATACTTTTCGCTATAATTCTTAGAAATTTGAAGTAATTCGGATATGATAAGATTGTTGTAACCGTAGCAATTGCAACATTAATCGCACTGATTTCGTGTTTTTAATTGACAGAACAACCATTAGTACCATTACTTTATTGCATATTCCAATTAAGACACAAATAGAAAGCCGATTTCACAGTCTCCGATTAACTTGATCTTTCTATTAAACTCACTCTTCGTCTCTTTCTAATGCCCATTTCTACCAATGTAGATTAACTTCTAATTTCAGTTTAACTTACTTTCTATCTTTTTCTAACTTTTAGAACTAGGAAAAGATGATAGGTAAGTTAAACCAAGATCAAAATTAACCTGCGTTGACAGAAATGGACATAAGGGGGACAGTTAGAAAGAGATGCAGAGTGAGTTTAATCGGAGGATCAAATTAATCGGAGACTGTGAAATCAGCTCATAATCTTAAATGTAATATTAGATACAGATTTTTAATTATTACATACATATATACCGCAATAATAATATTAACTACAGGAATATTGTGTTCTTAATTTACAAAGCAGCTACAAGCAGTGATCGCGGCTTAAACAGAAATTATCGCGATCACTGCGAATTACTGTATATTTTAATTGACTCATGCTCATAATTTCCTAAATATAGCAATCAC